GTTTCAAATATTCTTTGAAGGGCTGGTTTTGTGGACAAGTATTCTTTCAGGCTGTTTGTGTCATGAAAGATTTTTCTTTTCCCCTCAACTAGAGTAGACATTTTTTCTGGGTAAAATATTCTGAGTTGGCATCTATTGTCACGTAGAACTGGAAATACCTTGGGTCCAGGCTCTTCTGGCTTTCAGAATTTGCATTGATAAGTCATCTGTAATTCTGATGGGCTTTCCTTTATATGTGACTTGTTGTTTTTCTTTTGCTGCTTTCAGTATTCTCTCTTTGTTCTGTACATTCAGTGTTTTTACTATGATATGTCTTGGGGAGTTTCTTTTCTGATCCTGCTATTTGGTGTTCTATGTGCTTCCTGTATTTGTATGGGGATGTCTTCATTTAATTGTGGGAAATTTTCTTCTACAATCCTGTTTAATATCTGGTCAACAACATTAACCTGAAATCTTTCTCCTTCCTCTATTCCTATGATCTATAGATTTGGTCTTTTCATGTTGTCCCACATCTCTTGCATATTTCATTCCTGTTTTGTTTTTTTTTTTTAATTCTCCATACTCTTTGCTTGAGTGGTCCAATTCTTCAACTTTATCCTCCAATGTTGATATTCTATTTTCCATTTCATTCATTCTAGCAGTGAGGCTTTCCCATTGTTTCAAGTCAGCTTACTGAGTTTTGTGTTTCTTCATTTCTGCCTGAGATTTCCTCAATGTTTCTATCTCTTTTGTGAATTTATTCTGAAGTTTATCCCTATCTTCTTTTAGCTCTTTGATTTGTTTGTGTGTTCTTTAAATTTGTTGAATTCCTTGATCATGTTTATAATTGTTATTTTAAAATCAGTGTCCTGGGTTAGCTCTAGGGGGGTCTCCTTGAAGAACTCTTCTACAGGATTGGTGGGGTTTGGTGGGGACATAGTGTTTTGGCTTTCCATTTTATTGTTCTTTCGTTGTGGTTTTGGCATGTGAATTGTTATTATTCTGATATGAGAATTAATTTGAAGTATGCTTCTGTTTGTATTATCTAGGTGCCTAGATCCTTTCTTTATTGGTTACGTAAAGCTGGTTGGTACAGGGTTCAGGTTCTCTCAGGTTTAATTTGGGGGGAACCGATGGCTTCCTATCAGGTATTCAGGAGTACCCACAGAAGCCTAATTCAGGTTCCAGGCAGGTATACTCAGGCTTCCTTCACCACATGGAGGCAGGATCTGGGTGTTCTCAGGCAGTCCCCTGCATTCTCAACCCTATCTATGCCAGAGGGAGGCCTGCGGGAGGCCAGAACTGGGCACTCTCTGGTGGTCTGGTGAGATCAGAGCCTCTACACAGATGGAGGTCCGAACCCACCCTCTCAGGCTGTCTGCTAGGATCTCAGCCTTAGTCTACCAAAGCTAGATCTGCCCTGGGGCCTTGGGAGGGGCCTCACAAAATCCCAGGTAGGGGGATGGGTATGGGGCAATTAGGGGAATCCAGAGGTACTCAGGCAGTCCCCTGGGTTCTCAGGCCCTGTTAGATGGAGGCCAGAGGGAGGCCAGCACTCTCTGGTGGTCTGGTGAGATCAGAGCCTCTACACAGATAGAGGTCCGAACCCACCCTCTCAGGCTGTCTGCTAGGATCTCCTACTTTTCTAATCTTAAAAGAAGCAATTTAGCATGGTGGGAAAGAGTATGCACTTACAGGCCAGAGACAAAGATTCCAATCCTAACTCTTCTGATATTAGCTTTGTCATCTTATAGATTTATTTTTCTTTATTTGTAAAATGAGGTTAATCACACCTATTTTGTAAGCTAATGGAAAACAAAGGACCTGAACCAGAGGTGATTAAAGAACAGCTGCTCAAAAGAAACTAAACTTCATTCTCTTTCAATCTCCCAACTTCAACAATAGAAACTGTGAATCTTATACTGCCACCTGTCATAAAACTGCAGGCTGCTGCATGCTCGAAAGCATATTTAACTGCACTTATAAAATTTACCTTCTAGTCTTCTATAAATAAGTGGACTGCTGTCAACACCTAAAACAAATAAAACTCCACATTCTTTTCATCACAACACTTGTGTTTTAGAAAGGGAAGAAAGAAATACTATCTATACATACTTTTATATTTTTCCTTTTACAAGGGTTGGTAAATACTGTTGTTCATAATTGTATCTAATTGATAAAATAGGGTCTGAAGAAGGAGGACAACATGCAAATTATATACTGGGATGTATTAGTTACTTTTCTGGTACTGTTGATAAAGCAGTGTGACCAAGGCAATTTACAGAAGGAAGAGTTAATCTGGCTTATGGTTTAGAAGGTTAAAGTCCTTAATGGGAGGGAGGTGGAGGACATGGTCAGAGAAGAAAGTCTAGCATGCTTAGAAATCTGGCAAAGGTTAAGAACTCTCAAAGCCCGCCCCCAGTGGCATGCTTCCTCAGCAAGGCTGCACTTCCTAAAACCTCCCAAAACAGTGCCACCATCTGGGGACAAAATGTCCAAATACTTGGAGCTTCTGGGGGACATTCTCATTCAAACTACCACACTCTACTCCCTGGCCCCCATAGGCTCATGACCATATAAAATGCAAAATGCATTTAGTCTACCCTCAAATGTCCTCATAATCTTTACCAGTCTCAATACTATTCAAAAGTCTTCTGAGACTCAAGACAATCTCTTAACTGTGAATCCCCATAAAATCAAATTACTGGGGGCTGGAGAGATGGCTCAGTGGTTAAGAGCACTGACTGCATTTGTATAGGACCTGAGTTCGATTCTCAGAACCCACATGGCAGCTAAGAACTGCCCTTAACTCCAGTTACAGGTGAATCTGATGCCCTCTTCTGACCTCCGCAGCATTACAGGACACAGGTGCACTCACATATATGCAGGTAATACATTCATACACATAAAATAAAAATAAAATATTTTTTAAAAAATCAAATTACTTACTCCCAACATAAAATGGGAACTAAATATACTTTTCCATTCCAAAAGGGAGGAATGGGGGCATACCAGTGAGGAAATACCAGACCAAAACAAGACTGAAAACCAGCAGGGCAAACACCAAATCCAGTAGCTCCATGTCTGACTTTTGAGACTTTACATTTAAAGGGCTCAGCCCAGCTTCGCTGAATACATCTCTCTCTTGGGCTGCTACCACTCCCATGTGCAGGCTCTTTGGCACAGTCCTAGCATCTCCAAAGGTCTTCTTGGGGTCTCTACTACGAACCAGGCTTCACTTTCAATGCTTCATACAATGGCCTGTTAAGGCCTCTTGGTCTGTTAGAACCTTCATGCAGGGTCATCCCTGCTGCTTGCTGCCTGGCCTCAGTGGCTCTCTGAAACCAGAAGAAGAACCAATGACCCCTTCACTCTTGCATCTTTCATGCCTCCAAAGCCAGCACCACCTGAACACTGCCAAGTTTGGCTGCCAGAATGAGATGGGCCCTGGCCAGTTTCATCCACATTAGCAGCTATTCTCCTCCAGTATTTTCCTTTCACGAATTGGAGGCTTAGCTGGGTGTGGTCTTGCCCTGAAGGTTCTCCCACTGTTTAAGTGCAAGTCTATAGGCCTCTCCTATTATAATGGCTCTAATGTCCTTATCAAAAAGCACCTTTCCTTCAGCACATGCCTTGGCTCCAACACTTATCTTCCTAGTACCCTGCTCTTTTTCAGTCCAAACTGTACCATCTACATTTCTTTCAGTCCCACTTGCTCTTTCTCACTGTAGATCTCCATAATACTTACTGTTAATAAACATGTCACAAATTCAATGTTGGGCTGTCTTGAAATTTTGTCCACAGGAGAAATTAGTCCATTACTTTTCAACTTAAGCTTCAAGCAAGCTCTTAGGCCAGAATGCTTTGCCAACATCCCAGATGCTGTTCAAGTTTTTAGTTCCCTCTGGAACTACCTTGCTCTCAGCACTTTCTTTCAGGCTCCTACCCCAATGGCCTGTTAAACTCTGCTTATAGCATTCAACCACTTTCAAAGTCTTCCACATTCCTCCAAAACACAACATGGTCAGGGTCTTCACAGCAACACTTCACTCTACTGGGGACAAAATGTCCAAATACTTGGAGCCTATGGAGGACACTCTCATTCAAATCACCACAAGGAACTAGAGCAGTCACTTAGGCCTGCACTTTTCAATCGAAAGTAAAGTTTAAATTAGACTACCACCATCATAGTAACACACGGTTTAGTCGCTAGGAACATCAGTGATGGACTTACACTACTAAATAGGACATTTAGGAAATATGCTCATTCTAAATAAAGTCATCCCATCTAATATTAACATCATTTCAGAATCTGAACTGGTAAGAAATATACTGCAAAGGATAGCTTTCTCCTATTGAAACAGAGAATAACTTAGTTAAGTAAAATTACAAACAGAATTAAATTAACTACTCAAATAACATGACAGGACTACTATCTTTTAAGGAATACATATTTCCCCAATTTAATGATATTAGCACATACACTGTATTAAGTTCTTTAAAGGACTTTATACAGCAAACAGAAAAGCCTGTCCATGTAGTATTCTTGCAGAACCTTTGAAAAACAAAAAAGGTGATAAATAACCCACACATTTTTATTAATTTTGAAGCAATATATTTTTTAAGCTGTAAGTTCAAATATTTATATAATGCAGTCCAAGTTTAGTTCTGTGAGTCTTTTATGTTTTAGGGTTTTTTTGGGGGGGGTATTTTGTGTGTTGGTGGGGTAGACATTGCTGAGGACTCAAAGGCAGGACCTTGAGCATACCAGGCAAGAACTCTGTCACTCAGTTACATCCCCGACCCTTTCAAGTTTAAAAACATCCATTTTTAATCTCACATACTATCTGATTAGTTATAGTAACACAGCAAAGTCGCACATACTGATAGATATCCCAAGAAGCAATAATAGATTTGTTCATTTGACTGTCAAAGTTTACCTGGCTCAAAATTTATTTTTCTAAAATCATATTTGTCAACACAAGTCAATCTTGAGCACTAGCAAATTTATTATACTTTACCTTGATTTACACAGTTCTTTAGTCAGAGATGTAATCTTTGAACAGATCCCTGTAAAATGATATAGTTTTAGACAACAATAAAATTATCTTTTAAATATCCAGCTATATATATTCCCTTGTAATAAGCACAGATAATCAAACCTCACATATGGAAATGTATATTTCATTATAAAAATAGCCAAATAATTGGAGATAATGGCAACTCATTCCATTTAAAAGACACTGAAGGGGCTGAGAATGTAGCTCACTAGTAAAGTGTCTGCTTAACAGGTATGTTAATCCCCAGCACCAGAAAGATTTTACCTACTTAGTTGATCATAAAAGGCTAATAACCGGCCATAATTCCAGTTCCAGGGGATTCGATGCCCTCTTCTGACCTTGTAGGCATTGCATGACATGGATGCACTTACATACATGCAGGCAATATACTCATACTCAAAAAAATAAAATAAAGCTCACAATCTTACTCCTAGGTTTTCAACGACATGAAACAAAAACTTACATACACACAAACCCTTTAATGTAACTATTTTGGCAGTTTCATTTATGATTGGCCCAAACTAGAAGCAACCCAGATGTCTATCAATATGAGAAATGAATAAACAAATTCTGGTAGTACAACAGAATACTAATTATCAATAAAAAGGTTTAAAAAAAAACTAGTGATTTGTGCAACAAATGGATGAGTGTAGAATGCATTTTGCTATGTGAAGAAAGCCACACCCCAGAGGTTAAACACTGTGATTCCATTATATACATGAGACTCTAGGAAAGGCTTACTGAAAAGACAGAAAGAGCATCAGTAATTGCAAGGGTTTGGAGGTGGGAGGAGAGCTGAGTACAAAACAGCACTAGGGACTTTGGGGGTTCATAGAATTATTCTTGGTAGATATATGATCTTATGCATTTTTCAAACTCAATAAAACTATAAAATATGCTGAATTTTACAGAATACAAATTACAGACAATCACGTCAAGGAAATCCAAGAAAATACAAATTGTACCCTAACTAAAATCACTGAGTCATAAAAAAAAAGACATTAAAGTAGAAGGGCTAGTTGATAAGAGGAGGGGGATTGGTAGGAGGGAGGGGGACCAGACAGGATGACCAGGGAGAAATATAATTAGAATATGTTATGTATATATATGAAAATGTTATGATGAAACCTATTATAATGAATATATTCTAATAAAAACATCAAAAATTACAAATTGTGAAAAATTACTCTATGATATAAATAAAAGGAAACAACAGACCTAAAGGAGCTGGGGGATAGGGGAACAAAAACTTAATTTTGGAAAAGAACACTCTGGATACTGTGAGAATAAAGACAAAAAGAAGTGTGCATAAGCACTGATTCCTATTTGCTAACAGACATGTAACTGTGTACATGACTGCCGTATTTCTTACTATAGGAGACGTAAATCAGAGAAGCAGCAGGGGGTCCTAGACTGGAACTGGAGTTAGAATGCAACCTGAAGGAGGCGGATGTTGGGACTTGAACCAAGGTCTTAGCATGCTAGGTGAGTGCTATACCAACAAAGCTACATCTCTGGCACAATTTTTAAAACATGAACAGAGAAATATAGAAGTACGTATACATGTGGGTTGAGATATATATATATATAGTTTCTATCTCTGACAGTTAAAGGCCTAAAAGCAAAAGCTAGGCATGGTGGCACATGCCTGTAGTTCCAGCAAGTGTGCATACATGTGGGTTGATATACATACACAGTTTCTAGCTCTGACAGTTAAAAGCCTAAAAGCAAAAGCTGGGCGTGGTGGCACATGCCTTTAGTCCCAGAACTTGGGAGGCAGAGGCAGGGAGATCTCTGTGAGTTCCAGGCCAGTGTGGTCTACATAGTGAGTTCCAGGCCAGCTGGGGCTACAGGGAGACCCTGTTTCAAAAAAGATCAAAATAAAAAAAAAAACAAAAAACCCCAAAAGCAGTAACAACTCAGTGGTCATGAGCACACACCTAGTACCCAGATGTGGGTGATACCAGGCCTGGAGGGGGAAAATACATAGGAGGATCTTAAGAGAGTCCTAAATTGCCTTTTTAAATGGAAAAATATGTAGAAAGGCTACAGAAACAAACTTAAAAGTTCCCAGTGGGAAAACTAGAACAATTTAAAGCAATAAAATAACAATAATATTACTTCTAAAGAATTTAATATGAATTACCTTAATACTATTTCTAAAGAATAAAATATAGGCATTTACAGTGATATAAGGGGAAGGACTACTATTGCTTCCCATAAGAGGGTTATAATTGATAAATATACAAAGAACAAGGGGAACATAAAATCACCATTGAACACCACAGTAATAACTGCCTCAGACAAGGCCTATCGATAAATTCTAAAACAAGTCATTAGAACACTGAAGATAAACGGTATTTGAGGAGCCTCAAAATATTTTCCCCAAAATATTTACTAAGAGTTTTAACAACACTAACTTTACAATGGGGAACTCTGATAGATAACATCATAATCAAGTGATCACGGTTTGCATCACAGGTAATAACAGAGTAAGCATCATGTGAACCCTGACACCATATGCTAAAGGCACACAACCTCTGTGGTGTCCTTCCCTAAACCTGTAACTTCAACTTAATTATGATATAGTATTAGAGAGGCCCTAATTAAGTGACACTCCACAAAATATCTAACCAAAGTGTCAAAGTCATGAAACAAGATGGAAGAAAGGAAAAGCCTAAGGGAATACCAATCTCACTAAATACAATGTGGGATTCTGGAAAAAGACCCTGGTGGGGAAAGCTGGTGAAATTGTAATCGACTATAGTTCAGTAAGTCACTACAGATTGTTTCCTTTGATCACTGTCCCATGGTTATGAAGATGCACAGCAAGGGATACTGAATGAAAGTTAACAGAAACTCTCTGTACAAGTATGAACCACTCCTAGTGTATGCAGTGCTAGGGATAGAGCCCAGAGCTCTATGCATACTAGGTAAAGAGTCTACCAACTGAGCTACATCTTTGGCTCAAACATATTATATGAAAAGCATTATTTAAAACTTCTATTTAAAAATTCCACAGTGGTCAATTAAATGCTTTTACATAATCTCGAGGATAAACCTTGCAGATTTACTTTCAAACTTGTTACATACACTCTAAAAGATTAGCAGTATGTTCAATTTAAAGAAAAATTGTAGGGGCTGGATAAATGGCTCAGCAGTTAGAAAGTACTGGCTGCTTTTGCAGAGGACCTGGGTTCGGGTCCTAGCACCCATACTACTGCTAACAACTGCTGAAATTCCAGTTCCAAGGATCCAATGCACTCTTCTGGCCTCCAAAGGCACTGCATGCATGGGTGGACTCATATACATGTAGGCAAAACACTCATACACATTAAAAAAAAAAATCAAAGAAAAATTATGCCTGCCTTTAATACATAGGTTTTCCCAGGTGGTGGAACATCCTGTAATCTTAGCCCTAGGGAGGTTGACACAGGAGAGCCAACCTGGGCTGCAGGGTTGAAATTCTATCTCAAACAACACATGTTTAATTTTAATGATACTGCCTAATTGGCAATGAGTTAGTATTTGATTTATAGTGTGAAACGTTTTATGCTGACCTAGAGAAATCTAAAGTTATATAGAAGAAAAAATTAAACTATGAACTTTTCTTCTGGTTTGTCTCCCCTTCATTTACATTTATACACAAGTGAAACATAAAGCAGGGAAACTTTAAGAAAGGTCTTAAGCTGAGCTCCCTCTGCTTCCCTGGGCCTGCAGAACCTGCAGGCCTCTCTCCCAGGAGCACTCTGGGCCTGGCCCTGCCCTCACCTCCAACTGCTTCCCTGGGCCTGTACCACACACAGCCTCTCTCAGACCTGCAGGCAGGCCTCTCTCCTGTATAAGTTGATAGCGCCCTCCACACTTTGACTCCCCCAGCCTCATTCACCCTCCCATCTCTGCCACCTGTGTCTCCTCCTAGCCTGGGTCCTGTCCCACTCCTAGTCTTGGTGGCCCAGACACCTGGGGAACCACCACTGCTTCCTGATCCTTTTCATCCAGACCAACCCAGTTCCTTCTCAGGTCCCCAGGAGCACTCTGGGCCTGGCCCGGCCCTCACCTCCCTCTACTTCCCTGGGCCTGCACGACCCACAGGCCTCTTTCCTGGATGCTGGGGCTGACCTTTCCTCTTCCTGATCCTTTGCATCCAAACCAACCCAGCTACTCAGTGAAGTCCCCAGGAGCCCTTGGGGCTGCTTCCCGCCCCCATTTTCCTTTGTATGTCTGGCGGCACAGACACCAGCTGCCCTAGACCAGCATCTTTCCTGGGCCTGGCTCCCAGGCCAGTCCAACCCCCAAATTCCTGGGGCCAAAATTTTCCCTGGAGGGATTCAGACCTTGGGAGAAAGCCTGAGAGCATCTGATCCTCATCTGCCTTGGGCCTCTGTGGGAACTCCTGAAGACGAAAGCAATCCAGCCACTCCAACATAAAATCAAAAGAGAGAACTGGAAGCTTAGAGGAACCAGCTTTTCATGCCCAAAAAGTAAACCACAAAGACACATAAAGTTCACAAAAAGAAGCAGATCTAAACTTGAAGGTCTGAGTC